TGATGTGGTGATTTTGGTTGCTTTCTTAAGAAGGTTTTTTGCAGGTTCTTGTTTGTATAAGAATAGATCAACGTGAGAGAAGTAGTAAGCCTGACGAGGTTTTCTCAAGCTATATATATGTATAGAGCAGCAGTTCCGACAGTGCAGTATAGTCCTCTGTACTCTGTATGGAGTACTGCATACTGTACAGTACTGTATGTAGTGCAAAGATTACCAAGGTGAGACAAAAGCAGGCAAGAATCAGCTAGGTATAATCAATAATAAATAATCAATTCAACATGAATGTGATTATTACTCTTAATTATGATTATCCGTGGATAGTCGACTGCGTATGATAATTACATTGTTAAGACTTTACAATACTATGTAATTGTTTTTTTTCCCTTTGTTGAAGCACGCATGAAGGAGGACAAGCGTAACAATAAGCGTAAGCAGAAACATAGAAATAAGCATGCAGATAAGCATGTAACGAACGCTGCTGGGCAGAGTATAACCCTAACTACATCGTTGTCTATGCTTTTACATTTTGGATTATGATCATGATCTTCTCCTCATTCATGCGTCACGACTTTATTATTCTCGCAGTATTCGAGTCCTTTTCTGTGGCCATGTCTGACATGACATGACTTTGGAACCGACTGAGAGAGTTATCTATCCCAATTATTTCTCCAATAGACATAAGTTTTGACTTGCTTCCGCTGGCGCTGTATCACTGCCAATTGGCACGTTCTCGAGTCTTACTGGGCTTTATTTTGTCGTTCTCTCATTTCTTAGCTGCTGTCCTCTGACTTGTATCCATCATCTCAGAGACAACTTGATCATCCAGTTCCGCCAGAGCAGGAGCCTGGACCGCTGGAACGTACTGGGGGCGGTCCTGTAGCAACGCTGTGATCCTCTTCTTCCGTCTCCTTTCCCATAAGGCCCACAAGACGGCCGATACAGCGATGACTCCTAATGGAATGCCAACTCCAGCGCCAACTGCGGTTTGGTTGCAAGAACCAGAATCGGAGGATAAGGCTGACGACGAGTTCGAACTCGACCCGCTTGACGAGTCCGAAGAAGACAAATTGGCGAGACCTGCTCTGCCAAAAACAATGCTGCCGGACGGTAGTGTGAAGTTGCTTTCTCCATATGGACAGGTAATCGTATCGCCGTCCGCAACTGGATAACCACAGCAATAGGTTGAACTTCCGTCTTCGTAGGAGAAACCTACAATGGAAACGCCACCGCTGCGACCGTCGTTTGCTAAGGGTAGACCACCGAACGTTAGCAACGGTAATCGCTATGTAGGACCCTCAGCAACGGCAGAGATAGATACGTACAGCCATGGCCTATAATTTCGAAGACTACCCCGTCTTCGATTTCATACGATCGAAAGTCAGGCCATCTCGTCGACTGCCCTGTGTTTTAGTATGCAATGAGGGTTATATTAGCGCTCTGGGAGATTGCACTGACTGGGCCTTCAGCCGCAGCATCGCTCAACCAACATATACCAATCAATCATGAGCAAACCTATTCGAGCGGCTGAGTCGAACATCCCTGTCAGGTATATAAGTCGCAGGCTCCCTCCTGAGAGGCCTGTGCAGTTCCAATAATGTTGTATCATAGTGCATTTACGACTTTTTCCTTTTCTTTAGGGTCAGAATAGATTCCATCTTGCATGATGATTTGGCCGCCACTATTGTTTACGATTGTCTTTGCAACACCGGGTCTTACACAAACCTGCTACTTCCCCGATGGGACCATTTCATTTGATATACCTTGTTCCTCAAAGCAGTATACCGCATGCTGCCGCAGTACTGATATCTGCCTGTCCAACGGCTACTGCTTAAACGCGCACCAACCATATACGCTATCTCAGGGCAGCTGCACCGACCAGAGCTGGGGTCCGGATTGCCCCCAGCTGTGTAGGATGGTATGGTAGTAGTCTGTACTTACTCTGTTCGGCATATATTTGCAAGATGCAGTAAAGTCACGTGATTTAGACATTTGCTAAGTCACATGATTAGATTATTCAGCACACGTGACCTGACCAATCGGGATTTTGTCAGAGTTTGCACTGTCTGCCTCACCTTCAAACATCCAAAACTCCCACAAACGAAGCAAACACTGCATCATCGCTGTCTACACAGCTTCCTGTTGATTGTTGAAACCCCGTCCAGCACGCGAGCGTGGTCCAGAGTGACACGGGCTCAAGAGGCCCTTTTTGGTTGCTCTGTGTGCAGCTTGCCCCTTGAATCTGGAGCAGGCTGCAGGACGTGGGTGGTGGTCCGGAAGGGCAATCCATACAGCTTCACGCGTCTCCCGCGACACGACCAGTTCATCTGATCTTTGCTTCTGGCTGTCTGCGTCTGAGACCAGCCAAAGAGAGCGCTGGGTTTGTGTCGCTGACCTTTGTGGCCCCGCTTGTGATATCAAGTGAAATCAAGACAATACAGCGTGAATAGTTACGAGCCTGTTCTATCTTCCATTTTATGAAGAGACCCGTCCGGAGGTCGGACTCGGACTATAGCAGTTTGCTGTACTCGGAGAAGGAGTAAAAAAAAAACAGCTATGGCGTCGACCTCCGCCTCCCATCAGCAGCAACCTCCTCAATCGACCGATTTCTCGGTGCACCAACCGCCACATACCTCCCACATGGACCACAATGCGCAGCTTGCGACCAGTGGATACGGTCCCAACGACAATCAGCTGGCAGGTCTGGTGGAGGCAGCAACCGCTGCTGCGGGCCAAGATGTTTCGGAGTGGGCGGCGGCGGCAGCAGCGGCGGCGGCGGCCGGTCATCATCATCTCGAAGGATACGGCGCAGATTTACACCTAGGGGACGATGGCTTTGGAGACGGAGGATTTGGCAACATTGGCACCACTCCCGGTGCGGGACGACAGCTCAGAGGATCAACGTCGAACGCGCAGGGTCAACCAGGACAAACATCGGGCTTATCGCGAACGGTGTCGAGGAAGCGGAAACGAGGAGAGGATGCTCTTGATCCTGCGCTGACTGCTGCTGGCGGCGCTGCTGGTGATGGACAGCCACACCAGCAACAACAACAACAGCAACAACAGCAAGGGCAGCAGCAGCAGTTCAATGGGGATAATTTGGACATTAGAGAGCTACCGCCGCAGCAATCGCTGTCCGAAGCCAGGGCTGCTGGAGTGCATTCGGCTGCAGCGTTGTTCCGACAGCCTTCCAGCAACAAGAAATACACCCGTCCTCCCATGTCGAAGCTGTTTGCGTCTCTGGAGCTGTCACCAGAAAACTTCCTCCATCTACAGGCAGCCGCCAAGGCCTACATGTTGGATGAAAACCACCCGGAGCGGCGGGAATGCGTCGGCCAGCGTGGTAAGGGCGACACGGAGATGGTCAAATTGCGACTATGGAACTGCGTGCGACACTTTCTGGAGCAAGAAGGGTATGGAGAACGTTTCTTTGGGGAGCATGTTGTCAACGAGGGTATGCCGCCGCGCCAATACGTGTGGCCGCGCGACCAGCACAAGATCATCTCTCTGGTGATTCCGCTGCTCCGACGCATGGTCACGAACGAGCGACAACGGCAGTATGCCATCGAGACGCGTAAAGGAGGTGGGGCTGAGGAGCGGAGGAGAAGAAAGACCGAGGAGAGCATGCAGAACCTCAACGCGGCATCGCAGCAAACCTCGCCGGCCCAAGCACAGCAGCAACAGCAGCAGCAACAACAACAGCAGGTGTCGTCCCAGAATCAGCCGGCTCCAGCGCATTTCCCACCACCACCACCCATGCCGGTTCCTGAAATGCCGCCTTCTGCGCAGTTGGACCTCTCCAGTCTGGTAATGGAAGGATATCCTACCGACTGGAATAGCATCTCCGAGTCGTACAATATGTACAACCAAGACTACCAGCTAGACAATCTGTGGAGCGTATCGGGACTGCAGCAACCGGACTGGTGGGGAATCGTGGCGGCTGTGGACAGCCACTACAAGGTACTGCACAATGGCGACGCGTCTCAATGCAACAAAACGTGTGAGGACATTCAGATCAACCGGATCTTGTCTTCGGATGCGCTGGCCCATGCGAACTGGAGGGTGGGTGGAACCGAGAATTCACCTGCCCGTAATGAATTGTAGGTGCTTTGTTTTTTTTTTCTCTTTAACTGGTTCGACTTGGCTAACTTTTGGTCTACAGTGCCAGCAGCATCACTCGGGATGTTTCGCGTATCATTCGGGACAACTTGAGCAAACGCGGACCAAACAGTTCGTCTCCACAACTTGAATCTACCACTGCAGACGCAAACGGGATCCCTGAACCGCCTCAATACCTGCAGCAGGTGCAGCAGTCCAACTTTGGGTCCACAGTCACACCAACCACGACGGCGACAGGCGGCGATCATCATGCTACTTCTCCGATCACGCTTCACTTCAACATCGTCCAGGACGGAAAGCGAATCCTGCCGCGGCTGGACGTGTCGGCCGATCAGTGTCCTGATCTGGCCAGCATGCGCCAGTTCATCTCTCGCCGCTATGCGGGCCAACTGCCGGTTTCTGGGTTTGATGAGAATGGAGCGCCGGACACGTCGCGATGGAAGATCCAGGTGTGGCTGCCTGAGGGTTTAGTGCCGGTGCAGAACGACGGCGAATGGACGATTGCGCAGTTGTCGGCGGGAACGGTGGATTGGATGGATGGCGATCTGCGGGTGGTTGTCGATGTGGGCGAGAGCAGCTCTGGATGATGAGTCAGAGAGCGATGAAGAAGGTGCCTGACTTGTACAGTTACTGTATTTTATTGTACGTGTACATTACTTTTTTTGTCTATTTTGCTTTTTGCGTCGACACGATAATGCTGTCTGAGTGACAGATCATGATATGATACCTCTGTCTCAATAGTTTTTTTTTCTAGTCTTGTCTTAGCTACTGCACAATGGATGTTATATGACCTTGAAGTCTCGTCTAATAGGTCCAGTTTTCGTCCATTCTCCTATCCTTAACAGATGCAATTCAGCCCTTGTCTGTAAGGTAATTACTCCATGATTGATTGAGTTACTATATACGAAGAACTTCTAAACAGGTCGATTCCGTTCCTTTCTGGGCCAGACAGACGCCGTGAGTTCAGTTTCATCTAGTTAACTGAAAGCATCAGAGCAGAGCAGACGAGCAGATAGATTGGTATATTGGTCTTTGTGTGTGTCGTGTATTTGATTTCTTTTTTTATGATATCTATCTATTTAAGCCAAGGCAAAAAAGGTTACCTACCTACCTACCAAACTAGGTAATGATTTCGATACTAGTTACAACTATCCCATTTTTTACGTGCCTACTTTTCCCAAGTTGGAAAAAAAATCTCTCTTGAATGGAGACCAGAATCCTTGCTTAGATAATCGGGTACAATTCAGGTATTAATACCTACTGTCCTAAGGCTTAGCCTAGCTAATAAAATAAGTACAGTCGATGTTGAGCATGTGCCAAGATTGAGGGAATTGTATCCCTTGCGCTCGTCACGATCTTTTTTTTTTCGTGAGCAACAACACAAGCCTTCGGTTGTCGCTTGCATCCTCCCATTGACAATGATGGATGACAATCGTTCGGGAGTCACTTGATTTGATGAAGAAAAGTGGATCGGATCTGAAGTTGTGTTTGGGGAACCCCACCACCCATCAAGATGGATGCTCAACCGGAAAATTGCTGAAAGCGAAGATTGCGCTACCGAATCTGATGTCAAGGAGTGTATGATGGCCTCTGAAGCCCGCGGTGTCTTTGTTTGTTCAAGTATTTGTGACCCTACCCAAGAGGCTGTGGTTAAGATTCGGATGCAGTATGTTTCCCTGGTCCCTAGCTAGGCCCATGGTTTGTTTTTATCGCCTAAGCGGTTTCATTTAGGATACCGTACTTCAACACAGCATTCAGGTCTCGTCAAGTAAGGGCAAGGCAGGCAGAGCCAGACATGAGGATAGCGTACATAACGAGAGGTCAGCGCCCTTGAACATCTGACTGCGGTAGGTTGTTCATCAACGCCTGCACTATTCGCCTGGAAACATGAAACCAAAGGTGATGACGACTGGGTACCGGGGGGTTATATAGACTACATCTTGATGGAGAAACTTCCAGGGACAAGCCCAGGTTACTGGTCTGGTGCCATGAAAAGGGAAGAGAGTGATCAACTCTGCAAAGCGTTCAAGGAAGCATGGCAGTAAGTTATTACGAGCGTTTTTCTGCAGGCCATATATGTTTTTTTATGGCAAGGGGGGTTGAGAGAAGATAGGATATTCTAACTGATTACCCTTGCTTTTCAAGAGAATGCGTTGCCTGTGGCAGAGTCCACCAAGACCGTGGTATCCGAAACCTCATCTGGGATCGTGAAAAGCAGAAATGGTAAACATCCTCTAATTCTCGCCATGTCTTGGACGGGACGACTTTGTCTTTAAACTGGTTTTGCTAACGGGGAGGCTTTCAACTTGGCAGCTACATTGTTGACTGGGAGGAGTGGTGTGAAGCTACTGATGAAGATGTTTGGCGCGATACCCAGTACATTGCGTGGAACCTGGCGTGGGTTCGAAGTCATAATTACGACGATATGTCAACATGGACTCTGTGAAGGATATGAAGGGTATGGTATCAAATTTGCTTTGCTTTTTCCTCTTTTGTCAAGGAATCTGGGATGAGACTAAAGCCTCTAAGATTCATGGCAAGAAGGCTATGTTAGCGATACCCAGGTATATTAACTTGGATTACTGTGGGATGGGAATTGGTATCCGATTTGTGGCCCACGCGACTCGACGACTGAGCAAGGGTATGAGGCTATACCCAGCCAAAGTGGTACTTCCCTGACGTGAGCAAGGTCTTGTGTCACTCTTATGGAGTTAGTATTGTTCTAACGTCGAGGAGAGCCGGCCTTGGGCGAAGAACCTCAAATAAAAGTCCATCACACGGCTGGTTGTGACGAATTTATATGCTGTATACCCTCCACGATACATATTGAACTTTCTGGCCCTTTTCATCAGTTAGCTTCTTCAATCAGTCTGATGATACCGTCATTCTAGTTGCTCTCCTCGACCTCATCGTCCGAATAAACATGGGAAATAGAGAGAGAGGTATTGGATCTTAGTAAGGAGATCGAGGTGGAAAAGTTGAGATCTCATTTTGCGCCGTTGGGGGTGAGTGAGTGAGAAAAAAAAGGCCTGGTCTGGCTGCGAGCGCGAGTCGAACTGGAGACCTTGGGAGGGGTTATATATCAGTATAAAGAAGACCTGGTAACCCCCCAAGGGCTCGTGGTTGAGTGGAAAAGATGACTGTTATGAGTGCCTCCCGGACCCATCTCCACGGTCCTCTTGAGTCCCTTGGGGGAGGCTTGGCTGGGTCGGTCAGGTCAAAGCAATGGCTGCACTGTGGGCAGCCACTCAGTTAAGATCCTTCTTGTTTTTTACCTTGATCGATTCCAGCTGTCTTTTTTCCCCCTTCCAGTTGGACTGAAACAGCTCAGTGAGAACAGGTATCGGTGTTGCCACAAAATTATCTAACGAGATGTCTATACTAGAATGACTTCAAGCAAGTGGATGGACTATTTTCTTCTGTACGTCCTTTTTTCTTCTTTTTTTCTCATTTCATTGAATGTTGGTGAATCATTAGTGGGCATTGATTAGGTACGTATAGTACGTTGTTACGTGGATTTTTACCTTCCTAGTCCGGTAACAGACAGACGCGCGTTGCAGAGGAACAGCACAGAGCCTTTATTGAGTACTGATGAACATCAGTATTCTGCATTTATCATTCCTTATGCTGCATGCGTTTGGACATATGTTCTGAATTCATGCTTGTCTATACATGCAATATCCAGTGACTTTCTAGTCTTTGCAAGGCCACTTTGGCAAAATCACCAAAATGTGATTGTATCTATCGTCTACCTTATTTGAGAAGGTTCTATTGAGGATAAGAGCTGTGATTGAATGAAATATAATATAGCAGGAATAGTAAAATCATAATAATAGATTAATTTAGTGCATGGTACTTTTTGCAGCGAATACGAGGCGCCAAGTCCTGATCTGCAGAGTGAGTCAGCCCCCACGCCTTCCTCTCCGCACCCCAGCTTCTTCCTCCTACGCGCTCCAGAACTGATCTGTCAATGTAGAAATGCAGCTCCCTGACTTGCCCAACGAATTACTCATGTCTATTGCTGAACAGCTGCCGCTCGAGCGACACATCAGCGCCTTGGCTCGAACCAATCGCCGCCTCCACACTCTGCTGAATCCATTTCTCTATCGTCACGACGTCCAGCTTTTTGGAGGCTACGCATTAGCATGGGCGGCGAAATATGGCCGAGAGGCGACTGCCCTCAGGTCGCTCGAAGCAGGCGCCGACGTTCACACCACCGCGGAATACGGCAAGACGCCGCTGGCCCTCGCAGCAAAGAGCGGCCAGAAGCATATGGTGCGGCTGCTCCTGACGACAGGGAAAGCTGATCCGAACGTAAGGACGAAGGACGACGCGGCGCCACTGCATGTTGCGGCAAAAAAAGGGCGCTTGGAAATCGTTAGCCTGCTCCTCAATATCGGGAGAGTTGACCCGGACACCAAGGGCCCCAGAGGAGCAACACCGCTCTTAATCGCGGCCAGGTACGGGCATCAGGCGGTAGTGAAGCTCCTGCTCGCCACTGGAAGGGTTGACGTGAACGCCAAGGAGGAGGCCTGTGGATATACACCCCTGGCATGCGCAGTGCTGAAAGGGAATGAAGAAATGGTCAAGCTCCTGCTAGCAACGGAAGGCGTTGATCCTGATTGCAAGGATGACAATGAGGCAACACCGCTATTAATTGCAGCATCTAAGGGCCGTACGGCCATAGTGAAGCTACTACTCGCCACAGGGAGAGTTGATGTGAACGTGAGGGCCAGATTTACCAGATATACACCACTATCATTCGCAGCAGTGAACGGATATGAGGAAATGGTCAAGATACTGCTAGCAACAGAAGGCGTTGACCCCGACTCCAAGGCTTCAGGTCATATGACACCGCTATTACTTGCAGTCAGTGATGGCCACATTGAAATAGTGAAGCTACTACTTGCCACGGGTAGAGTTAATGTGAACGCCGTGACGCTTCGAGACGCACATGGGGCACTACGGTTTGCATCAAATAAAGGTGATAAAGCGATGGTCGAGCTGCTGCTGGCACAGGACGGGATTAACCCCGACTTGAGGGATACCTGTGAGAGAACACCGCTCCACGTAGCGGCCAGATCCAGTGAGGAAATTGTGGAGCTGCTGCTAGCAACGAATCGAGTCGACCCGGATTCCAAGGACGAGCATGGTGTCACGCCGTTGGCCATAGCGGCCGAGTTTGGCCGCGAGGCAGGCGTTAAGCTGCTGCTAGCGACAGGCCGAGTTGACCCAGATTCGAAGGACGATAGAGGCCAGACGCCACTGTTGTTAGCGGCCAAGAGAGGCCATGATGGAGTTGTTCGCCAGCTGATAGCGACGAATCGTGTTGACCTGAACGTTAAGGACGGCTACGGACGGACACCACTATCATTGGCCGCAGAGTCTGCCAAAATGTCTGTCTTAGAGCAGCTGCTAGCAACGGACAGAGTAGACGTTGATTCCAAGGACAACCACGGACGGACGCCGCTGTTGTGGGCTGCATGGGCGGGTCAGGTCCAAGTGGTTGAGCGGCTGATAGCAACGAACAGAGTAGACGTAGATTGCAGGGACGGAGACGGCCGGACACCACTCTCGTGGGCAGCAGTAAATGATCATGAGGCAGTTGTCATGCGGCTGATAGAAACAAACAGAGTCGATGTGTATTCCAAGGACAATCGAGGGCGAACACCACTGTCGTTGGCAGCGGAAAGTGGCCGTAACGGGGTCCTTAAGCTGCTGATGGAGAGAGCAGAGTCGATCTGAATTGAAGGATGCTCAGGATCACGCACAGCTCGCTGGCAGTAAGGAGCAGGATTAAGCATGCACAGATATTGCCTAATATCCTACCATTTCAGAATGATGGCATTTATTCGCTTCCTTGATATTGGTTGCAACACGAAAGAGTTAAGAATAAGAGTGAGTAGGGAGGAAGGAATTAAAAGGAAGATAAGGACCCTTTGCATCCCATGCCCAGTGCTCTAGCTCAACAAGAAATACCTCGACTGAGACCATCTATCCACATCAACAGCAAAGATGACTGCTTACAACTCATCATAATGCCCATGCTTATCGAATCCATCCCTGGGAGGCCCTCTGCCCGGCCCTCCGCGCCAATACCGCTCCCCCTCCGACGACGGCCTGTCCCGGCATTGCGGATGCTCGCGATCCTCGACCGTGCCGGACGGCCAGATGGGGATGAAGCAGACCTCGTTGTAGCGGCATTTCTGAGGGCATTCCTTCCATGTCGTCCAGCCTAGGTAGTCGATGAGCTGTTGGACACTTGCCACGGCAGTTCCGTGGTCCTCCTCGTCTAGGACAGACCGCAGAGTTGAGCAGATGGTGTACGCGACGTCATATACCACGCGCGCGGCGAGGGTCTCGCTTGGTGCACTGGCCGGGATGAACTGCGTTGCGCATCGCTCCGCCTCTGCGGTGGCGTTGCGCAGAGCATAGTCTATAAACGGGGCCAGGAGGGTCTCGATTTCCGCATGCAAGGCCTCGATGGACGAGAGATTCCCCGACGCGAGATACTTGAGCTCGTTCGAGTAGCGCTCGATGATCATGTCGGCGATGGACTGCCAGTCGAACGACGGCTCGGCCGCGTCGTGCTCCAGCACCAGACGGCTGAGGTCTTTCCTCAGCGGCTCCAGCTCGTCGTACGAGAAATGCGCCAGACGCGGCAGTTCGTTCTTCCCTCCCTGAAAGAGGTCGAGGTCTTCGTACGTGTACGCCGTCACGAAATGGTCGTAATTCACCCGCACCCTGCCGCCGCCTATCCCGTTGAACCGTGCCGCGATGGCCTTGTACGTTGAGAAGCCCTCAACTCCTTGTCTAGGACCTCCTCGTCGTCCGCCTTTGACGCGACTGATCCGCACGACGTGTAGATCGCGCGCAAAGTCGCAGAGGATGATCTCGAACCCGGCCTCCATGCGCAGGATGCCATCGATGCGGCCGTGCCAGTCGTCCCGCGCGATCTGACACGCCAGCGCGGCGCGCTCGTACTCCTGGAACCCGGGACCGGTGATGTTGTCGCGCAGCAGGATGCGGTCCTGCGAGTCGAGGGTGCCCATGTCTGTTTTGCCAGCGGAGAGGCCGTCGAGATAGAGCAGACGCAGGTCTTTGGCTGTGACGTAGGTGTGGAGGAAGCCTGCTTCGTCGTCGCCCTCGACATTTCCACCACGCAGTGGTTTCTGCTCCCTCTTCTGCGGCAGCTTTCTCTTACTGGCTGGTCGATCCTGTCGGTCCTTTCCCGGGGGATGACCGCGGGGCCTGGGACGAGCAAAAGCCAGAGCATGCTCCGGCTCAAAGGCAAGCCATTCGGTGCCGTTGACGGGTTCGGACTTGTCGGTGCCGTGGTAGAATTGCGTGCCGGCAGGCACGGTGGCCAGGAAGAAGGACATGCCGTTGTGGTACCAGGAGCCGCCCCATTGCCTCATGGACGAGTGGATGGCGTTGAAGATGTGGTTGGCATTGCGGATGCGTCCAGTGTCGGCTGGGCTGCTGGCGAAGGCGAGAGCGGCGAGAGAGAGAAACAGCAGAGGGAGCATGAGAATAGCTGTGATTAAACCAGACAAATCATGAGATATACAAGTAACCAGTAAAGCAGAAAGGAATGAACAGCAGAAAGATGAGGCGCTCTGAAAGAAACAGAAACAAAACCATAGCAAGTTCCAATATACATGTAATATAGTCGACTAACTGATTGATAAGATTAGGGTAGGGAGGGATTCTTAACAACACGGCCAAAATCGTTAAGTACACTACAAACTAATTTACTTCAGGAAAGGCGCATAATCACACTTCCACCAAAAATACTAGTGATTTTGATCGTAAATTTTCTGTGTTTGAAACTGTATTATAACACCTACAAAATTGATTTTGTATCGGCTTTTACTGACAACGCCATCACCAAAATGAGTCAACTTTTGAAGCCAAAGTCGCCATACAAACAAATCTCTCTATGTATATATTAGTCAAGTTGGCAGTGAATTGACACTGAAATTGCACTAATCCTAACTAGGAAATAGATGCTGATTCAAAAAGACTGTGGAATGTGGATTTGAGTGATTTGAGCCTAATCTGAGCCGCTGAGCTCGATGCTGCTGAGCTTGATGCCACTGAGCTCAGTGCTACACCAAATTCGCTGCCTCACCGATTTGCTGCCTCACCACCTCACCACCGCTGACGCCTAGTCTATATATGCTGGAAATCAGAGTCATCGTATGGCGTCCGGTATGACTCGCGCAGTTGCTTCTCTGGACCTCGCTGCCCGTCTCAGAACTCGTCGCGCTATTACTCGTCATCATCATCATCATCATCACCATCATCAAACTCTTCGCGCAACTGCTTTGCCATCTGTTCCCGTTGCTTGGATTCAGACATTGTATTTGCTTTTATAGGAGACTCGTCCTCGTCTTCGGACAGATCGGGGCCTTCGCCAGTATCTTCGTCGTCATATGGTAGGCCCGTTTTCGGTGCCGGTACACCCTCCCCCTCGGCTTCGTCCTGACGCCGGATCTCAGCTATCAATCGCCGCTTCTCGCGCTCTTCATAGGAGAGGTTTTGCCGTATGCCGATGCCGTCTTGAGTACTGTTGCCAAGGGTGTTAAGTTTATTGTATCCCCTCTTATATTCCCTCTCCTTCTCGGAATAGGGAAATGCGACGTTATCAACATACCCGGAATCTTCGACCTGCGATTCGATGTAGCGTGCAGCGGACGTTCTAGGCAGTAAGGTCTCTGGCTCTGGAGACGAGGAGCGAGACCAAGACATTGTGATGAGTATATGGAGATTTCTTTGACGGTATGCAGAGAAGTTTGGATGAGAATGATGGTGATGAGAGCAGTCTCCTAGGAGGCGCCTAGGAAGGTTTATAACTGTATGTGTATGTACTTGATCTCTCAGCGCGCTGGAACTCCCCACCAGTTCAGCTACATATACAGCATATTTGCTGGACCAATTAGGCATCAAATTTGCCTGGATAGGCAGGCAGTGTCAGCCAGCCACAATGCCAGCTTCAGCCGCATCGAGATCTGCATCTATTTCTTAGTTGGGACTAGTTATTTGAGCGTCAATTCTTACTGCCAGATAAATAGACAGTAATTTTGTTATGGCGACTTTGTTCAAAATCCGTCATAGTATGGAGCATAGGAGACAGTAAAATCGGTTAAAAAAAATCTATTTTGCAGTTCCAAACACTCCAAACACAGTAAAATTTACAATGAAATCCGCTAGTATTTTAGTGGAAATGTGATTTACACACCTTTCCTGAAGGCAACTAGTATGTGGTGCGTATATCTAACACTTTCAGCCGTGTCGTTAACAATCCCTGATTTAGGGCGGCAGAGACGCGTGGCTGGCGGCTTGGCACCAGTCCTCGGGGGCAGTCTGGACCCATGGATGACGAATGCAGTGTCGTATCGCTGGCTGATTGGTGGTGGACTACATGTAGATAATAACAGAGAGAAGTGTGTATTCCGGCATGTGATGATCAAAGTAGTCGATGAATTGAATCAGGGGTGGAAACGTGGAGAGGGACAATGCGGAAACATTTCAATCCTAGTATATATATGCCATCTGAGAATCTTGTTTTTATCTTTATCCTTATTTTTTCATTTCAGTTCTAGTTTCATATTGGCCTGTGTTAAAGAGTCGTTTACTATTTAAGTATGTGCTCTTTTATAGCTCGAGTATTTTCTTTCATTCCGTTTCTTATTATCTTTTTGCATTTTATTCTTATCTTTTTTAGTATTCTTATTTCTATCCTTGCAATCTCAGTAACTTGGGTATTTCTATTGTATTCACCGGCGGCTGTCCGTTTCAAGCATCCAACTGGGACTATAAACAGCTGAACCGCCTAAAGTATGCGTATATTATCTCTGCATTTATATTGTATAGCTCCTCACGCCTGTTGCCCTATGAAGAATTGATGTTGGTACAGTATAGTACATATTTGCAGCGAACCAGCCAGCCAGTCTGACCAGTCACGACCTGCGTGAAGAGACAGCTGACAGGTATATCCTCCATCTCATGCACACACAGTGACAATATTATTATAATACCAGCAACTTGCATAGATAGCGCTTTCACTGCCCAGCCGTCAACGCCTTTGCCGCATTATCGTTTGGCTGCGCATTGCCAAATCCACACCCCCCATCTCGCTCCTGGGCCACAATCGGCCCCGCGCAAAGTCCCGTATTGAACCCGCAGCAACCCGAAGCGCAGTCTGCGTCGCTGAGACACGCTCCCGTAATGAATTGTTTCCCCTTGCCGTTGCCGGCCAGACTTGGGTTCGCTGCCGCCGCCGCTCGGGCACCGCTGAGGGAGGCGGCCGGAGTAGGAGTTGCTTTGCTGGCAGCCGGAGTGCTTGCAGCAGGGGCAGCAACAGCAGCAGAAGTCGCTCCAGCGCCGTTTCCTTCCGTCAGTGCACGAGCAGCGTTGTCGTTGGGCTCAGGATCGCCGAATCCGCAGCCGCCGTCCCTCTCTTGCGCGACGATGGGACCGGCGCATTTGACCGGTGTTGAAGCCACAGCATCCGGACGCGCAGTCGGCGTCGCTGGTGCAGGGGCCGGTGATGAATTGCAGGCCGGTGACGAGGAGGGGTACTATAGAAAGCATGGATTAGTTCTGATGGCACGAAAGGAGCTTGAAATATTTGTCCAAGACACGTAGTTACGGCAGCCAGGAAGGTAGGTGACAACTCACAGTTCAGAAGGAAGAAAGCAAGGGTAAAGAGTTTAAGAGTTCCGTAGGCCATTTTGAAGGAGAAAGGGGAGCAATTGAGTGAGATAGATAGACTCTCAAAGTCTGTTGTTAATAAATTAAGTCTTCGTGGGGAAAAAAAAATGAAGGAAGGACTACTGCTGTAAATCTGACTGTTCACTTAGTTCAGATCTTGGAAAATAAAGTATATCGAGTCGCGACCTCTTTTTATATCCCACAGCTGCATACCTCAGACGCTGTCTATAGATCTAATGAAACTACCACTAGGCATGATCGACCTGCAGAAGCCGTTAGTCAGTCATACTAACTAATTTCGATATTACAACGGAGGACTCCAGCGACTTGAGACAGCGGTCAGTCAAGGACAGTCTTTCACGACAATACTGACCAAAGTCAGAAGAGTACACCCAGCGTTGCAACCGTACTCCGGAGTATGATGGAGATGAAATGAGCGACAGACAAATAAGGCAATGCATGCGGTCGGCAAAACCCTGGAACAGACGATCAAACAGACAAGGAATGGCGAGGCGCCCAAGGGTCGATTCCATTCGAACAGAGGCCATTAAGCTTGTGTAGGCCTGCAGTAAAAACTTGAGGCTGAGACTAATTGGAGCCAACCCATTCCTTTGGAATGGGTCAATCGGGTGGATACATGCACTAATACATACTAAATGCAGTATCTTCACCGTCAAAATAGAAGGTCCTGCTAGTTAAAAAGAATCTAATAATAGTACATGCTGGATCTTTATCTCCCTCAAGGGGGATCTGTCATGCGGATGTGGATGCGGGGAGTGATGCAATACAGAAACTGTCGGACCAGAGTCGCAGGTTGCGAAGTTAGGGCATACCTCCCAACAAGAACACAGCCCGCATGAACTGTCAGAATTAATTGCAGAGACGTTATTAGATCGATGTTGGCTATAAATTATAATCATACTGGTATGGGAATTCTTCTAGAATCCAGCTATTACAAGCATCTTAGGTAGGTAGCACCAATTATGTAGTTCCTCTGCAACCCAAATACGAATTAGATCCATGGATCTGCGAGACACCTCAAACGAACTAACAACTCACCTAGCTTCCTACCCCACATTTTTGATTGCATAGTCCCAGTTGTACCATAATTAGCATTGTCTCAGCCTGGTTGTGCATTTTATACACGCCCCTGAAGCCCTGGAAGTTTAATCAAGAAAGCCGACTACGTATGAAGAAGTCTCCCATGTGGTATCAATATCTGTCAAGGTAGTAGAATCAGAAGAAATTAGAAGAGAGTGATTAATTTTCTATATTCTCCCTTTCAGAATACATAGTCTTTTTTTTTAATGCGATCATTTCACCCACCAGATATTTCGAGGAAAGTATCTAATTTATGCACAGTATCGCTTCGTTTTTCTCCTTTGATCCTATTTTACTTTGATTTCGTCTGCGCAGACGGATTCATATATTTTATATATTTACACATTTGCCATTTTGTTATATACATGGAGCATGTCCATGAACCCGTTCTTCTTCACGCCTTCACAGCGCCAATATTCGCCTCCTTGTAGTTATCAACAACCTGCGACTCGACCTCCTCCTCAAACACATCCACCTTCGTCGAGGCAAACTTGCGCGCACTCACTCCCCGCTCGAACAGCATGTCCAGCTCAGCAAAGGACCGCCCCTTCGGCTCCGGCACCCGGAAATACGTATACACAATGCAGCAGAAGCAGATCCCGGCCCAGAAGAAGCCCGTGTAGTTGCCCCAGTTCCACGATCCCGGGTTCAGCATGTACGGCGTCAGGACCCCCGTGATGATCCCCACGACGTTGTACAGATTCCGGCCCAGCACGACCGTCTTGATCTGCAGCCGTCGCGTCGACAGCTCCGATACCAGCGAGTAGCACACCGTCCCCACGGTCAGCTGGTAGAACAGCGCCCACACGATCATCATGCTGCCCGTCGCCAGCGACGCCTGGTCGCGGTGCGCCGCCGGCACCAGGCCCAAGAAGCCCATGATGAACAGCATTGTGAAGAGCCCGCACAGCCCGCACAGGTACAGCGTCCGCCGCCCGATCCCGGCACTCATCAGGAACCATGCGCCAAAAACACCGGCCATGTTGATCGCGTACTGGCCCATCGCGAACGCATACGACTTGGACGCATCCAGCCCCGCCTGCTCCAGGAAGTAGGTCGAGTAGTTGGAGAAGGAGTTACCGCTCAGGTTCTGGATCGCCCACACCATGCACACGATCTCGGTGCGCCGCAGGTCGGTGCCCCGGAAGCAGTCCCAGTAGCTGGCACCGCGCGTGATCTTCTCCTCGAGCGCGGTCGTGTGCACCATCATGGCGATCGTCTCATCCGCGTTGAAATCGGTCTCCCGGTCCAGGCTCGTCAGCCGCAGCAGCGACCGCTTGGCCTCCTCGATGCGACCCTTGCGGACCAGCCACCATGGCGACTCGGGCGCGAGCAGGATGCCGATGAACAGCGGGAGCGGCCACATCCACTGCAGCCCGTAGGGGATCCGGTACGCCCACTGGTCATTGCGACCCAGCATCGCCTTGATGACCCCGATCCCGATGAGCTGGCCGAGACCCCAGCAGAAGTTGACGTAGGTTGTGAGGTAGTTCCGCAAGGCGACAGGGCACACCTCCGACGCGTAGGTGACGGTTAGCGTCTGAAACACGCCCCACGGAATGCCACACAGGATCTCGGCTGCCAGAAGGGACTGCACGTTCTGGGCGGTGAAAAAGATGGCCGTCCACGCGGTGACCAGGGTAAGACAGGCCATGATGGTGTAGCGATAGCCGAATCGCTCCGACACCCAGCCGTTGATGAAGAGACCGATAATTCGCCCACGGCGGCGCCGTTACTAAGGCCGGCTTGCCACTACAGAGAACCACTCGTTAACTTTCTATCTACAGCATCTCTTGATAGGAGGCTTACATACTCTGGCCGGTACTTGGTAAGTCCCATCGGGCAGGGGCTCGCCGTACTTGCGATTGAAGGCCGGGAAAGCGTAGAAATTGTTCACCAGACTGATATCGTACCCCTCCATGACGATGCAGGTCGAGATGAGCACGCTCCAGGCGACAGCCTTGGGGTACAGCCGGATACCCTGGAGCAGGGTCATCTGCTGCTCCTTCTCCGTCGCCGCCCTGGCGTTCTCGACCAGCTTGTCCATCGATCCCGACGAATTAAGCTGGGGGTCCTTGCGGGGAACATCCTTGGGATGCTCAATGACATCGGGGGCCGGTGGGGAAGCCATGGTTGGCAGAGAGGTTGAGCGTTTACCAGTCTGGGTTGGACTCCTAGCTGGGTGTCGACGAGCGTTTACTACTTGCGCAGGGGGACCTGACGCGGTTTATATAGACAGGATATCGGCATAGCCATTGACGACGTGACGCCGAAGCAGAGAATCATGTAGAATCGATTTCTTTTTCTCCTCTCTGTTCCGGAGTGGGGGGGAAGAGGGGGTTCCGGCGACGGCATTTGCTGACCATGATTTTTCAACACGCTAGAGTCGGAGGACTGATAGGCTCGCCCATGGGGAACGGCAACCATGCATCAATTACCCCCAGATAGTGCGCTTTGACACCTGCCCCCAAGATGGTCTTCTTCAATCGTAGTCAAAGTAAAAACCGCACGAGCGAACCTTGTTTTCATCAGTTGGATCGATTTGCTGCTAAGACGGCAATTAGCTGTGTGCGGTAGGAATACGATAATGAAGTGGGTCGGCGCGCGAGGTGATCCAAAGTGCAAAGAGGGGCTGTAACGTGATTATTCAAGGCACGTCCCGCACATCTCATCATAGGTAATACGTCCAAGGTCCATACCCAGATACCTAGGACGACAAATGAGCCTTCAGACTGAGAGCTTGGCACCCTAAATGCGGCCGTCGCTAGCCGGAACTCGACTCTTCGTCATCCCGCCTCTCGAGATATTGAGCATTGCCCAGCTCTCTCCTCTTGCCATGTCTGTCATAATCAGCCAGATAGACGCAGTAAGCCTGTTGAGCAATGTGAACAGAGTATTGACTTGTATATGTAGTAGAGACCAGAGGATTTGATTGCATTGAGCGACACTAATCGCTGGCGTGCCGATTGGCTCTTTGGCCGAGACGATGATTGGTGCGGAATGCATCGAGAGCCGACCGCTTCGGAATAGCGCGGACTTGGCATCGAATCAGAAAGATTCTCGGGGAACGACCAATGTCAAATCGGGAAAAAGATCTTGCTGTCAGTTGCTGTCAGTCAGACCTTAGCCTCGCCGTCTGTTACTGGCGTTTTTTCTCTTCTTTGTATCGGTATCATATCGATAGGAAATGGAAGAGAACGTTCAGCACAGAGGGAACTTTGCACCAAAAGATAGGTCTTTTTTCTCTTAGGGTCATTTCCAGATCTCTCTGACGGGTAATTCCTTCATCTTTTTCACATGAGCTCGCGAAAATAAAATGCTCTTTGCTTCTTCTGATGCCTCCCAAGCCTCGATGTAGAGATACGATTCATGCGCTAACCCAGCGCATCGCCGTGCATACCTTCTACCTAGTACGCTCTGAGGAAGATCAGACCTCCTCTTGCGGAGAAGATTTCTCACTGTCCCCTCGGGTCAAGAGTTTTCTAATCGACGAGCTGGGTCCATCACCCCGCTTGGAGCGATTCTGAGATGAACGCGAATCATTTTTGGGACGTGCTTGCAGGACTCTCGGTTTGGCTTCCGTTATCCGTAGATTCGAATAAATGAATGTAGTCCGTGAAATAGGCCAGAAGCATTGTGAACCAGGCGAAAGAGGGCCTGATGCATTTTTGGGCTTTGTGACACCATGATGGGACGGTCGTTTTGAGCCAGTCCAGGACTTCGTTGATGTATATAGCCATAAAAACCAACGGAATGCAGACAGCAGCAGACGTCCCAACTATCCACAATGGTCAGTCTTAAGGTAAAAAAAATACCGTTGAATCGGAACCATTGGGCTGTGCCTACAAATTCTGGAGAAGATCCATTCCGACGCGTAGCTTACATTCTCACCCTCATGTGGGAATGATTGGATGTTCAATGCAAACAAGGAGGCTAGGAATGATAGCGGTAGCTGAGAAGGACAAGAGTAATTAGCCTCGAGCCAGAGTACTGGGGCAAAGCACTCACAAAAGATGATGGTGACAATGGTGAAGACCAGAATGGTCCTGCCCTGCTTTGTCGTTTCCTCCGCCTGTCGCGCAGCCTGCTGCGCCTGTTTCCTAGCTTCAACAGCCTCGAGGATGTTTGTATTCTTCTGCTTCAGGTCCAGCAAATGGTTGAGCTAGGAAAATTAGCAAAGGCCAATGCCATCTTTACTCTGGGTGACACACAGCATCATACGTAATCAGGGCATCCATGTCCATCTTTTCAATCCTCTCGATGCGAAGCTGAATATCGCTTCGTTGGTGATAGTAGTTCAGCACTGGGTCTTTGGCTATCGCCTCTCGTTCCGCACCGGGTGCTACCTTGGCGACAAGGCTGAACAACTTCTGCATTAAATTTTTCTGGTCCTCACAAATACTCTTGATGATGTTAAGCTCATCTCGGATGTCTTTCACCTCCTCTAGAAAATCGATTTCGCCCTGCAGATTTAGTCCCTGAACGGCCGAATTTCCATTTTCGTCGTGGACTTTGTAGCTTTGGTGGATTTCCTTTTTGAAGGTCTCGAAGCATTTTACTTCTGCGTCTGCCTGCATGACATCAGAAGCGGTCAGCGTCGCTGAGAACTGAAAATGTACAGGTGCCAAGAACTAGTTACTAACCACAATACCGATAGAGCTGGCAAACATGTGGAAAAAGGACTCTGGTCCGTCTGGGAGACGTGCATGACAGTCCTCCCACGAAGCCAACACAGACGCTTGCTATTAATATAGCTAGGTGATACACGGAAGAGATCTGCGGACGCGTCTCTTCATGAATATGTGATCGAATCTTATCCAGCAACTCCGGTCGACGGTTGCTTTTGCCATCCCCACCCCATGTCTGCGGGAAGCAGGTGATGAGCGTTTCTGGAAATGCCAATGTCAGTTGTCACTGCTCTGACTTGGACTGGGGTAACCTACTATCATCAACAATCCACAACCAAAGCTGGTCCACCATGCACATTTCAAAGTCCCGGTCATTAATGACTTCATCGGGCCCGATTTCCTCAGACTCAGGACCCGATCCTTTAATTCGATCTGTATGATTATTTAGCGCTAAAAATCTGCTTCTTCGAGAAGGGGAAGTGTGACGGCGGTCTGGCGCATCAGCTCCGCTACTTCTGTTTTTGCTTTGCTGTTGTTCATCGTTCGCTCTCTCTCTTCCCATTTCTGCCTTTTCCTTGAACTTCCTGGTCCGGTACCGTCGGACAACTTGATCTGCATCACGTCGCACGGTGTCTGGTAGCGAGGAATAATAGTATTGGTCTAACGTTCGCGATACATGGAGACCTGGTCCCTTGCCGGATCTGAAATAGCGTTGGAGCAATTCTTCATGTCTCGCAGCTGCTCCGTTATTTGAATTATTTTCCTCTCGCTCCGCAATCTCAATGACATCCTGCAGCCTCTCTCGCCGCTCCAAGAGCCCGGGGGCAATTTCATGTCTGTGCAACTCCTTCAGAAGTTTTACGCCTCTTTGAGCTCTTCACCCCGCTTTATATTGGGCATGTTAGTCTTATACAGTAGTTTATATCCTTCCTTCATTTCGTCTATTTTTGCTGTTCTTTTGCCATCTGGATCAATTGCTGTCCATTCCGGATACAATTCAGTAAGAGTGATTGCTTGTCGCAGCTTCCTTTGACTGTCCACGGTTTGGAGAGTGAGGAACGGCATCTGAAGGAATCTTGTGAGTACTTTCTGTAGCTATGACTCTGGGAAAAAGAACGCACACAAATCGCCAACTTGCATCCTTCCAAGGCAGCACCTTCAGCATCTCGCACTGTTTCTTTTGTATCTTTCTGTCTCTGTTGTTGCTGTTTGACATCCATTTGGCCCTCTCTCCTATCGAAAGCTGTTGGCAGTGTGGTTGTTCCCTCCGCCTTGGAATCCTTGGGACCGGTATCTTGGATACGTCCGTCCTCTTTGTTGATGTAGTCTGTCTTGGTTTCATTCATTTCCGTTTCCGGCATAACCATTTCATTATTCGTGGCTTCGCCTGAGATAGGTACTGCACCAGTCGTTACCTCCCCTGTGTGTGCTTCCTGACCACCGGATTCGCTCTGAAGGTTTTGTCCTCGGTCCTCAGTTTTCCCCTCAAATGGTCTGTGTGGGCCTATTGACTTGGGAGTCTGGTCTTTCACCACCTCTCCTCCGGGAATGACTTCATTGTCTTGGCCGGGTTTGGTGATAGTTTTTGGCTTACGGTCTTTGCCGCGCTGCTGCACCGATTTGCCCTGTAATCGGGCAATACTCGAACCTTCCCCAGAACGAAAGTCTTTGGTCTCAAACTACAATTCATGTCAGTTGCATCAGAACTGATGACAGGGTGCATCATGTGCCCTACGCGAAGCGCTGGATACATAAAGCGGCACTGCGGCGGTCCAAGGTGTTCCCGTCGATTTTGCTCGAAGTTCTTCAGCCGAGTGTAGTCCCCGTCCGACTTCGTGGATTCACATGACACCATTCTCATAAGATCCTTGGAGCAAGTAAGCAACGTCCTGTGTTTCAACCGTTAATGGCAGAATTCATGCTCACCTCTGCCCAGATCCACTGTTCGATGTCCTGTCAGAAGCGGGTCGTGCCAAGGGGAAGTGTTCACTTACATTGTTTGCAGGTAGATGGACCCATCTGAAACGCTGAGCGTGCTCGTTCGTCCATTCGGTCTCCCATATGTCCCTTGCCTTCGACATGATCTTTTCTGGCCCTTCGCCGTAGACGACATCGGACACCGGGCTTGTTCTTTCAAGCGTATAGAACCTATTATCCTGGAAATAGAAGTCGATGATGTTGGACCGTAACTGTTTACAAATATCCGGTACTCCCTCCATACTTGGAACCGTCAGCGGAAGGGGCTTCCGGGGAAGTCGTAGAGGACTTTCAAGAAGGCCCACAATTTTGTCTTTAAACGCTGGATTCTCCCGCGAAGGCTGTTTAGCCATATCCAGCGCAGAGATCGTGTCAGATGTATCTCCATTAGTAGCTTCAGGGTTGGCACCATTCATCAACAAATGTTTGACGACGAACACCGCTTCGGGCTTCGTCCAATTGACTGCCCAATGAAGCGCAGTCCAAGACTTCGTGTCTTCTAGAGAGCCCATCATATGGCTCAGTAACTGCTGCACCACTTTCTCATGCCCGTTGTGAGCGGCAGCCTGAACTGCGTGGATCATATCCTTTTCATGTAGGATACATTTTGGATCCCCTTGTGTAAATTTGTCGAGCAGCCATTGTACGGCGCTCTCCTGACCTCCAACGGCAGCCCAAAGAAGCGTTCGTCCAATCTCGCTGTCTTCTGTCTCTTGTGACAGCAAATTTTCCATAATTTCCGTGTTTCCATTGCGAGCCGCCCAATGCAATGTCTTCTGTCGCATGCCAGGGGAATCTTTGTAGAGATTGTCGTTCTCCAGTAGGAATTCCGCAATCGAACCCACTTGTTTTGGACTTGTTCTCTCCATTGCAGCCATTGGGCTTCGGGGTCAGAAGGAACATCAGCTTGATACTCGATTAGAAGTTTTACTACGGCCGCGGAGCCTGCATCTGCTGCCAAGGAAAGTGCCGTCTGTCCGCCATGATTGACACATGAGAGAGTATGCCGGGACATTTTCGTCAATAGCACCTCCACCACTCCCTCTTTTCCTGCTTCACTGGCCAGATGGAGGGCTGTATTGCCAGCACGATCCTTTGCTGCTATGGTATCTGCGCTGCATCGTTCGAGGAGAAATTCCACTGTGTCTTTATGTCCTTCTGATGCCGCTAAATGAAGTGGTGTTTGCCCGGTATTGTCTCTTGTATTAGCATCAATGCGATTTCTCTCCATTCAGGCTTGTTGGTCCTCCCAAAATTAGTACTCTTTTCAAGCAGCCAACTAACAAACTCTGTATTCCCTTCAAAAGCGGCAATATGCAATGCGGACCACCCATCGTTGTCCGCCACAGTAATGTCGGCATCATGTTGAAGCAGTAACTTCCCGACTTCTATGCACCCACCATGAGCACAGTCAAAAAAATGGCGTCTCCCCATTCTCGTTTGCGACTGCAACATCGGCACCTTTTTGAAGCAACATGCGCGCAATTTCTGCATTTCCTCTATAAGCAGCCCAGGTTAATTCAGTATCCCCATTTCGGTCTTTAGCTCCCAGTTCAGCACCATTGCGTAGTAAGAGCTCGACAATGTCGTTGTTGTCTTCAAAGACAGCGATATACAGTGGTGTCCTTCCGTCGTTGTCCTTGGCATTTATGTCTGCATGGTGCTCTAGCAACATCTTCACAATTGTTTCATTGCCGACAGCAGCAGCCCGGTATAAGGGGGTCTCCCCGTCGCAATCCTTCGAGTCCACGTTGGCATTCTTCTCCAGTAAAATTTCAACCACCTCCTCGTGGTCAAAGTTGACAGCGAGGTAAAGAGGCGTTGCCTTCCACCTGCTGTTTTTCGTCTCGATGTCTGCACCCTTGGCAAGACAAGACTTCACCTTTTCAACATCGCTGTCACTTGCAGCTTCAAGCAGCATTTCATTATAATTCGCTTTCTCGGGAGGTTCTGTGGGATCGCTCGGCTGTGGAGGCTCTGGGTCAATGGTAGACTCCGCCATACTGATTCGAGCTGCAGTCAGACCGGAATGGTTCGAAACGTCCATGGTCAACTTTAACCGTCCTGGCTAAGCCTCGAGCACCTAAAGATGACCCCGATTCGAAGATGTTTTGCTAAGAAGGGATAATAATAGAGACACAGGATCTTCAATTTGTTGGCGATGTTCCCATGATTTTTCAGCCAATATCCACAAGGGCAGGCAGTGTGCTAAAGAGGTAGGATGCGTCAAGACATGACCCTGCACTGGTCGAGTGTGGCGGAGAGTGGGATGAGGAACTCACAATTATACCTTATTATCAGGGCGCATACTCACCAGGTGGTACATCCATGTGTCAAAGCAACCAATCCTATCGTGGAGGGCCACATCACCGAGTATCGATTATTTTGCTGCAGAGATCTCAATTCAGCTATTGACAATGCTGAACTGGCAGCAGTGCTCTGGTCTTATTCGTGGAACTTTATTACCATTAGCACAGCAGAGGCTCAACTGAGGGGCCGAAGAGTGTCCCTCCGATCGGGCTGAAGTCTTCATGCAGAGAGGCTGCAAGTCGCCCCTCCTTGGCCAATCCGCACGTTTTGGACGTGCAAGGTAGTGCTGCATGTTCAGCTGGCACTATTGCACTAAAATTGCACTGAAATGGAGATTGAAAATAGCAGACGCTCGGAGGACAAGCATTCTGAAGCGATTCGGATGAGTTTGGGTTGAGGTAGGAAAACAGCTTCCTATTAAAGAAGGCACAGAAATGAGGCACGTGCAGCTACTGGAGTCAGTTGCCTCCCGGCACGAAAATAATCAATTCTTTCGCTTCAGAGTTTACTTGTGATATAGATATATAGGCAACAAACAAGACTAAATGGCCTCTCTCACAATTGGCCCACTCCTGGGCAAGGCTAGAAAGAGGGCAGCACAGCCAGGCATAATAAGGATGTAAAGGGCCATTTTGGGGTTCCCCATATATTAGCCGCTTTTCTGATATCTCCTGCTCAGCTCCCTCTTTAGCTAACTTAAAAAGGCACCTGGGTCGTCCTGTTGATTGTCTTCTCAGCCTTGATGGGAACGAACAAGGACAGCAGGCAGCTATAGAGTTGAGAAGCACTGCCTGCCAATAATACAACATCGTGCGTGCAACACATGCTGCCAGTCTTCTAGATTAGCTCAATCAGATGAAGGCTCGTTTTTCCAACTCCGACAGGGCTGTACGGACTCATCCGTCAAGATGCCAAACCCAGACGTCTCAGCCATCGTATCGTCAATCGTAGCGGCGTTTCAAAGTGGAATGAATGTGTTTAGGAGGCTTCAGCACAAAATGAAACAATCGAAGCTCAGCAAAAAAGAGCCAGAGAAAAGTCACACCCTATGACGAGGACCTTGATACAGCTGACAAAGAAGAACAACTGCGCCTTTCACTCCAGCGCGGACCCAGCCAGATCATCAGTGCATATGAGACGAACTCGGAGAGGTTCGGGGATCGATTTCCACGTGGTGATGGTAAGTTGATTTATCAGTCCAGTATCGATATTCTATCACCGAGGATTAGTTACTCGAAAGAAATGTGTATTTGTCGGATGACGTATTTTATTGTGACTGACGGGCTCAGACCTCGCCCAGAGTTCCCTCACGCATACCCTTCTCATTCTCAATGCAGGTTTAAGACGAATAATGTCCTCCATCATGCCAAACGACAGAAGAAACGATGAACTGGCACGTCGGTCCTTACTGAACCTGTCCGAGAGATCAGCACGAGATGTTGTAAATTCACTGGAAGACCTTCGTCAACGATTGATGACCTCCTCCATGGGGTCTCCCCAGTCTGGACTGTTACCGCGAGATAGAGAGTCAATTTCGAGGCGGCATAGTGGTGCAGCTAAGAAGGAAGCCCCTCTAAGGCAGCAGCAGCAAGTTCCACGGAAGAGAGACAAGGACAAAGACAAAGGCCAGCCGAAAGGAAGTCACAAAGATGCCATTGCTGCCGGAAGATCGAAACCATCTCTTTCATCAGTGGCGGGTTCAGATAGCCATCCCTGCCAGGACGTTGTGCGTGGTGCATGGGTTCGCACCAGAAACGGCTCCTCGTCGCCGGTGACGGTAATCACATCACATGCCCTCAAGATTCAGCCAAAGACAGCAGGAACCACAATAACCTAGCGGAACAGACAGCGCAATTCCCAAAAGTTCAATAAGAGCGCCAAGTCCCCAACATCAGGCACTCTTCCAGCACCGTCTCCTGATCTCCCATCGTCCACAGCCTTGCCATTGAATTCTTCTCAATCACCTCCATTGACTGAGACAATGCAACAACCGCGGAGATGACGATGCCAGACGCTCAGAAGAAAATTTCCAAAAGCAGCGATGACAAAAACAGAGCTTCCATGCTATCTACCGACTCTGGCAGCACCAAATTGGGAGAGATTCCCCGACACAAATGGCTTACACCCTGGGAGCCACCTGTCGAGAGCGAGGACAACGAAGATAGCTCCGAAGAAGAAAACCTTAATTTTCCTCCCAAACACAGAAACGAGGTTGGATTGAAGTTCTGGAGGAGGCTTCGGCAGAAGAAATAATGATAATAATACGGTAATAAAAGGTCGACCAGATAATAAGAGGGTATTTCTGTCTTTTTTCCTGCAGGACAGGAAACGTTCGTAATAAACCCAATGCCATTGACAAAGATTTAAGAACTTGTTGATGATTACTATCGAGTATGTAGTAATTTAATAATTAGGGTGGCTGACTCTTGATCACTGTCTATGGGTAGATAAGTAGCACTGCTGGTTTATCTATTCCAATGGACGCGGCTCAGCCAAGACACTTTAAATGATTCAAGATCAAGGTAAAAAAAAAAACAGGAAAGAAAAGAGAAAAGAAAAAAAAAGAAATTGTATTGCATTGCACGTCTGTATTTTATCTAATGCGCTATATCTCGCTATATCTGTGAATTTCTCAGCTGGATATACTGATAGATATCTAGGCCTCAAGGCGCAGCCTCTCCAATTCACGGATCTGTTCCTCAATGAGCGCAGCTTCGCTCTCGGCGTCCCGGAGCTTCTTCTCCTCTGACGCCTGCACTTCGGGCTTGACCTTTTCGCGCCAGCCAGGGGCGTTGATAATGCTCTGCTGCTTGCGGATGGCCTCCTGTGCCTTTTGAAGGTTGATCTTCGCCTTCTCTTCCTGCTCCAGAGCAACTTCCTTCGACACCTTGAGGTAGACAGCAGCTTCAGCACCAACGGGGGACACGACGCATCCCGAAGGACGAGTCTTGTTCTCGGGGCCGAACACCGTGATCTCCCCCACGTACTTGCCACCCAGCGACTTGATGCTGGTGACCTCCTCCGAGATGGTCTGGTGACTGATCGGGTCGTGGGCCTGGATGATAATATCGCCCTTTGTCTTGATGTCGAACTGGGCCAGGATGGAGCGGATGGCCTTGGACGTGTTGAGGACCAGCTCGTAAGCGGTCTCAGCAGCCTTGTCGTCGAATGCCGGGTTGTATTCGGGATATCTGGCATACATGATGGACTCCGTCTTATCGCCTGGTCGGCGGGGGAGACGCTGCCAGAGTTCCTCGGTGACGAAGGGCATGATCGGGTGGATCAGAGTCAAGGCTCCATCGAGAACAGTGTACAGAGTCTGCTTAGCAGACTCTTGTACCTCAGCTGGAGCATCGGGCTGCAGCAAGGACTTCGAGTTCTCAATAAACACGTCGCAGAGCTGGCTGTACCAGTACTGGTAAATAGTAGACGCCGCAACGGAAAACTCACGGGCCTCAAGAGCCTCATTGGCTTCCTTGGCAGCAGTGTTGAACTTGTGAAGAATCCACCGTTCGGCAAGAGATTCGCGGCCGGTCTTGGAGGGGACGTCCAGAGGCTTGAAGTCGTCGCCCAGCTTGCCAAGCACGTACTTGGTAGCCTGGTAAATCTTATTACAGAATCGTCGGTATCCGTGAATCACCAGCACATCGAATGCAATGTCACCACCTACATAACGTTCGTCAGACGAGTCCTGCTATCTGATGATCTAGGAAATGGAAACTTACCACCAGTGGTGTAGGCCACCAGCGAGAAACGCAAAGCATCTGCGCCGCACTCGGGAATACCCTTGGGGAAGGCCTTCTTCTGGTACTTAGTAGCGGTGGCGATTTCCTTCTCAGCAAGGTTACCGGTGAGGAGCTTGTCATGCAGTTTCTGAAGCTCAATGCCTTCCATAACATCCAGAGGATCGATGACATTGCCCAAGGATTTAGACATCTTTCGGCCTTCAGAATCTCGGATCAAAGAGTGGCAGTAGACCTCCCTGAAAGGAACCTTGCCAGTCAACTTAATACCAAGCATGATCATTCGAGCGACCCAGAAGAACAGGATATCCCAACCCGTCTCAAGAACATCCGTTGGGTAAAGCTTCTCCAGGTCCGGGGTCTTATGGGGCCATCCCAAAGTGGCGAAAGGCCACAGACCAGACGAAAACCAGGTGTCCAGCACATCCTCGTCCCGTCTCAGTGTGAACTTCTGTCCCGGGAACTTCGCTGCAGCCTTCTTGTAAGCTTCTTCCTCATTGCGACCCGTCACCCACAAGTTGCCGTCGCTATCATCGCCTTTTTGTCCCTCAAGCTGGATGAAGTAAGCGGGGACCTGATGGCCCCACCACAGTTGTCGGGACAAACACCAGTCGGTGATGTTTCTCATCCAGCGGAAGTAGCTCTTTTCAGCCGATTCAGGCCGGATGATAATTTCACCATTCTCAACCGCCTTGATAGCGGGCTCAGCGAGACTCTCCATCTTCATCCACCATTGGGGCTTCATAATCGGCTCAATGATGTCATTGGATTTGGCGCAACGCGGGATTTTCATAGGATTATGCTCCCATTTGACGTAGAGGCCCTTTTCTTTCAATGCCTCGATCACCTTGTAACGCGCATCGAATCGTTTCATACCGGCAAAGGGGCCTGCGTTTTCATTGAAAGTTCCATCATCATTCATAATTGAGATGAATTCAAGATTGTGCTCTTTGCCACGGACAAAGTCGTTGAAGTCGTGCGCGGGCGTGATCTTTACAGCACCAGTACCGAACTCAGGATCAACTTTGTCATCAGCAATGATGGGGAGAAGACGATCCAAGAAAGGATGCCGGGCCTTCTTGCCGATCAGGTGCTGGTAACGCTTATCGTTGGGGTGGACAGCGATACCACTGTCTCCCAGCATCGTCTCCGGACGGGTGGTGGCGATCTCTATCCTCTCATTGCTGCCGTCGATCTCATAGCAGAAATGAGTGATTACACCGAACTCGATCTTTTTGTCGTATCCAGGCACATCCAGCAGAGTACGTCCTTCAACTTCCTTGTTCTCGACTTCAAGATTCGACAGGGACGTGTTCAAAGCCACACACCAGTTGACAAGACGGTTAGCCCGGTAAATGATCCCCTCCTCGTGCAGTCGGACGAACGTTTCCGTCACGGCTTCAGAGAAGTTGGGGTTCATCGTGAAGGCCTCACGAGTCCAGTCGAACGAACCACCCATTCTCCTCAGCGCATTCTTGATGCTTGCGTGATACTGATCCTTCCACTGCCAGACCTTCTCAGTGAACGCCGGTCTTCCGAGGTCATGCCTAGTCTTCTTCTCAGTTCGCCACAACATCTTCTCAACCACGCTCTGCGTCGAAATACCAGCGTGGTCCGTTCCAGGAAGCCACAGCGTGGTCTTGCCTTTCATCCTTTGCCAACGGATCATAGTGTCTTGCAGCGCCTGCATCAGGGCGTGACCCATGTGTAGAGAACCAGTCACGTTGGGCGGCGGGCAGACCATAACGAACGCACCCTCTTTCTTGACATTGCCGTTCTCGTCAAACTGGGGCTTGAAGAAGCCGCGCTCCTCCCACCATTCGTACCGACCGGATTCGATGGTCTTGGGATCGTAGGCATCGGTGGTCTTTTCTTTCTCGACTTTCGGCTTCTTCTCCGAGGACTTGGGCTGTGCCTGTTTTGCCGCAGCCGCTTTGGCCTGTTTCTCTGCAAACTTCTTCTGTTTCTCGGCCTTACGTCGTTCCCGCTCCACTGCGTACGCAGAATATTTAGCCAACGCCCAGAAACAGTGTGCACAAACGCAGATCAATCACGGAGTACAGCAGTGAGGCGGGGACAGAGCGTACATTCTTTCTCACTCTTCACCTTTCCGGTGGTCGATTCAACGCCGGTAGGGGCAGCGCCCTCAGTCGGAGGAGCGGTGACCTCGCCCTCTGTTCCAGGACTCAACATCAGCATACCTGTTTCGTTCTGTAGGGCCTAAAAAGAGGGGCACACGGCGCCCGGGAAACTTGAAAGCGGGGTCCTAGCACTCACGAGAATTCTGAGACGAAGAAGTTTGCGACATCCTGATAGAATAGAAAACCGGAGATGCGATTCTCCAAGGCGCCTGACGCGCCACAAGTCTGCGGATGAGAATCTTGAGCACCGCTGTTGCGAAAGCGACTAAGGCAAGAAAGTGGAAAGAAGAATTTGTACGAGCCTCGCGGGCAGGGAATTTTCGCCTGGGACTGAGTCGATGAACGTTAGTTGGTGCGGGGCCAATGGCAGAGAGGCGGGACAGTGGAGACGGGCTGAGGAAGAGGAACCAAACATGCGACTTACAGCTGAAGCTCGACCGGAAGGATGGGAAGAGAGCAGCAGGTTTGCGGCGCCAGAGCGCTTCCCCGAGACGGCAACAAAAGCAGCGGCAGTGAGTCAGATCACGTGCCCGGAACAGAAGGAACACCAGTTCCCACCGGCACCTCAGCAAAAAGACACAACAGTCGAGGAAACTATCAGGACCGGTCCTGCTGCTGCTTCTTCTTTTTCTTTTCTTCCTTTAATCTGTGCTGAACCAGTACTGCATTAAATTTTTGGTGCAGCAATGACTCATCCGTCCCTTTTTCCAGATGAGTCCAAGGTGGCAACTACCACGAACCCCGCCATCGATTTACTCCGGAGTAAACTACAGAGTACGAAAAGATCTACACTTGGGCATGCTATCCGGACCCATAATAAAAACAATTAATGTGTATTTACTCTCAAATAGAAACTTAAAAAAAGCACACCAACACCTTAGCCTATCTCACAGGATTCTTGCTAGTTTCGTGGCCAAAATTCAATGAAGAAAGCAGAAATGAAAGGAAGACGACACTATCCCATAACACCTCAGTATAGACCATTTATAAATCAACAGGGCTAAAGGAAAATGGGGTGTACGCAAGTCGTGGAACATGCAGAGTGGAGTAGCAAAGGCTACTCTGGCAATTATCGAGAAACATGAGACCGATGGATCGCGTGGCGACGCCATGTCACGATGAATATGTAGCATGGTTCGAGCCCATATTCGCAAAGAGCAGGTTCACGGGGCATGTTTTTGAGAATATGGTCTTCGTAAAGCATTCCATCGATGACTGGAAAGTGGGTGGTGGGCGCCATCCAGGCCCATCATTGTCAATGCCACCACTCACAACCCTCCCTCGAATTGCTCCCATCCCTCGAGAGCTAGGAACGAGAAAAGAGATCTAATCGATATTTCGTTCCTCAATGCCATGCAGCAACACTGGCGTGCTCGTAGCTTGGCGAGAGCTAGTATTTCCAGCGAAGCCCCTGGAATGGAGAGAAAAGCTGCCGTCTCCAGGATACTTTAAGATTGCGAAGAAGAAGCATTGTTCTGGTTACGTTCGGCAGCACGGACAGGTTCAAAATAGGGGTGCTCCATCGCCTCCCTTGCAGTCAGACGCTCCTACAGGAGAAATCAGTCGACGGTTTTGAGACGTTCGGAGAAGGGGAAAATAACATACCGCATGATCATATCTGAGCAGCTTGTCGAGGAAGTCAATGGCTTCGGGGCTCACAAAGCGTTGGTTCTCCGCATTTATGAAGGTGTGCCATGGTTTCTTAGGGTAGCGCGCCAGAAGATCGTCATACTGCGAATCCAGCTCGATATCGTACTTGTCAAGATACTCGAAAAGCTCCTCAGTCCCCAGAACCTTGGCGATCTTGACCAGTTGGTCTGTATTGCTGTTTCCATGGAAGAACGGCTCCTTGCGGAAGATCATCGAGGCGAACATGGCGCCCAGAGACCACATGTCCAGAGAGTAATCGTATTCTTGGTAATCAACCAACAGTTCAGGTCCCTTGAAGTACCTTGATGCAACTCGGACATTGTACTCGGTGCCCTTGTGGTAGAATTCCGCCAGACCCCAATCGATCAATCGAAGCTAAAGACGGTTAACATCTTCCAGAGACAGCAACAGAGGTGCATGGACATACCTTGCGGCGTTCGTGATCGATCATAACATTGTGCGGCTTGACATCGCGGTGCATGATGCCCTTGCTGTGGCAGAAATCTAGCGCCTTGAGCAGCTCGTAAACGTAGTAACGGACATCGTAGTCACAAAAGCGGGGATAGAGCGTCCTGAAATCGGTATTGTTGATGTATTCGAATATGAGACTTGGCGTCTTGCTCTGGCTGTCGCGGACAACGTCCAGCAGCGCCACAACGTTGGGTCCGCCCGCCAGGTTCTGGAGAATCTTGATCTCACGCTTGATCTTCTTCTTCTTGACTGGCTTTAACACCTTGATGACACATTTCTGGTAGTTCACGACATTAATACCCTCGAAAACTTCAGAGTATTTTCCGCGACCTATAATTGACATCATAATTAGCACTCTGAGCAGCGTGATCGCGTCCGTTCACGAGGCTGAGGGATTTTTGACCGTGTACGGAACACATGAATTACGTACCAATCTTCCGCACGACCTCGTAGTTTTCCAACGAACCCCAAGAGATATTGACGCTGTCGTAATCCCAGTAGGATCTGGGCATGTGTTCGTTGACATCTGCATATACGCGTGCCATCTTGAAGGCGTATTGCTGGCCGACGAGATCCGCCCACAATCGCCCTGAACCGTCAAATGGCGTAAAGCGGGGTAGATTAATCAACCCACGGCGCACGAGGAAAATAAATATCTCGAAAGCAGAGGAGGACACGCTAACTGCAAGGCGGGAGAAAGATGCCCACCGATCAGCAGCGATGCCTCTGGATCAGAAAACGCGGGGCAGAGAATCAAAGACAGGATGGGTTTCGGACCCGTATACCGAACCTTTATCATTTGGAGGCCAGCCCAGGTCACGGGACGCTCTCCCGCCGCACCATTCCATTGGGCGGCAAGGGCGCGGCACCGGATAAAGAATTGTGCCGCCAGATTTTAGGTGGATTGCCATTCTCGGACAACAGCTCCATTGTCAGGACTCAACACTTTCACACAAATCTCAACGAGTCGTACGGTTGGTAGGGAGACAGAAGCGCCAGTTAGCAGTTGATGGTTTTTGCAAGATGTTTTATGACCTGAATGTCCCCTACTCTCCGGATGATCCCGAGATATCTCATACCCTGAATTTTCTCGCCGAACGTACGTGGAACCCCTCCCCCCGAATCTTGGGCTGCAGGATTGCTTTTGTTCTTGGGTGTGAAATAGACAATGGGTAGGGCGATTGATAGACTGACTGAATCCGCAGTTGGTTACACAACCGTCGCTCTTTCTCAGACAATAACAGGAAAACTTCCCGCCAACCTTTCGCCTCCACCATTCCCTGCGAATGCTCCTAAGTCCCTCACCTTGTTGAGCCGCATTAACCTCACTCTCTCCGATCCATCCCAGAACCAGCGTCTTGCAAATCTTGCCCAATTATATTCTATCGTTGCGCTGCGCCCAACAAACGAGAAATCCTTGCTGAACGCATGCAACAATCTCGACTGTGACCTCATCTCCCTTGATCTTTCGGTTCGATTGCCCTATCATTTTAAGCTAAAAACCCTTGCGGCAGCTATCGCAAGAGGGATTCGATTTGAGATATGCTATAGCCCCGGGGTGACAGGCAGTGGCCTGGAGGCGCGACGGAATCTGATAGGCAATGCCATGGCGCTCATCAGAGCCACGCGAGGAAGAGGCATCATTATTTCCAGCGAGGCACGAAGGGCCCTCGCAGTGCGTGCGCCGATGGACGTGATTAACCTGGCCTGTGTCTGGGGTCTATCGCAGGAACGGGGGAAAGAGGCTGTGTGTGAAGAGGCTCGGAAGGTGGTCGCGCTGGCGCGTCTCAAGCGAACCAGTTGGCGAGGGATAGTAGACGTGGTACATGGTGGAGAAAAGGAGACAACGGAAGCCCGAGGACAGGGCCAGAAAACGGCTACAGGGAACAAGCCTGCATCCAATGTCGAAAATAACGGAGACAGTCTGAAGAGAAAGGCGTCTCAAGATTCTGAGAGCCCGGCAGCCGAGATTGAGAAGCCACTCTCGAAACGAGAGATGAAGCGGAGGGCTAAGAAGGCTCGACTTGAGGCACAAAGCGGTGACCAGACACCCCCTGGAATTCCATGAACGACCAGTTTCGACAAGAATCAGTCAGTGTTTCTCTGACCACGGCGTCGACAATGACACCTGTCGCACTCGAACACCAAAAGAATATTGTCTGCTGGTTTAGTTACTCGAGAAGTCTGCCACTACTACCCACATGAATGAACAATTGACAAAAACAAACTTTGATTACAACGATCTAGTCAACACGGCGCCCATGGGCTACAGGGTTCCGAACACTGCCATACAAGTTTGTGCAGCCTTCTCCACCCTTCTCAGAAGACATTAGGTAATATTTCGACAATGTGTGATAATGTGTGATTTATCCACCAAACTTGATCGTCAGGGCGGAGTGGAACGCGATGGTGTTGATATTGACAGGGTCTGTTTGCGGTGCAGAGGTGGTTGTGGACTCCGAAGCGGACGTCGATGAGGACGACGAAGATGAAGTCGTGCTGGCTTGCACACTTGTTCCGCTGGAAGCTGACGCACTTGAAGGTGCTGTTTGGGCGGATGCATTGGCAGTGGTTGTCGTGGACGAGCTGTTGGAGGTTACTGTTGACGCAGTGGTTGCCTGGGCTGCCGCGGTCTTCGAAGTGCCCGATGGAGAACTTGTGCTTTGACTTGATGAACTAGATTGCGCTGCTTTGGCGGATGATGCAGCGACAGCTGAGTTGGCGACCGGCTGGTTGAATGCGGCGGAAGGACACTGACAGGAACACTGGCATGTATCAGCGCTTGCGGCAGCAGCCGGAGTCGAATTTGCAGCACTTCTGGCTGGGGTCGCAATAGAACTTGTTCTGCCAACAGCGGCAGCAGCAGCAGGGGCAGAACTCGCAGCACTACTAGCAGGAGTCACGACAGAAGCAGCCGTTGCAGCAGCAGGAGTGACAACTGAATTTGATGCTAGGGCGGCAGGAGTAACGATGGAGCTGGCTTTTCCACCACCGGTCGCTGTGCTTTGCTGGCTTGAGCCGGGACCAACAATTATGGTTTCTGAACCGTCGACTATTGTAGTAGCTCCCTGAGCACCACCGGCCCCTGGGGTCACCACTATCACGGGGATCAATCCAGCTTGCCCGATAGTTAGTATAATTGAACTCGTTGACAACAAAGAGCGACCGTACCGTTGGGACCAGCTGGGATTATTTCAATTGGCACTGCTGCTCCCGGAGTAGGTGATCCCTGAGCGGCTTGTTGAGACGGACCTTGGACGTTATGAGCATACTTGCAGCCAGCTGCTATATTTTTATGAACCATCGACTTACCAGAGCTCGGGGATGTGACTGCTTGCTGACTTGTCTCCGGGGTTGCAGTTGCTGGGTTCAATGGACGCACACTTCCAGCGAAGGGACTAAGCAGACGTCAGCTGTATGTTTCACCAGGTGTGTATGTTGTCGGAGATAGTGTACTTGACCGCTGAACGAGTGCCGTTGGATCTTGTAAGAGTGGCTTTCGCATGTAAGACGGTGTTGTTCACAAACGCAGCTCGAGCGCTGGCCAGCCCCTTGTCCAGGTGTTAATTTTCTTTTTCTTTACAACACAACTCATCATCGATCAGGCCGGTTACCTGAAAGATCCCTAGCCATAGCAGGACTGCAACTTCACAGACATGTCTTCTTCGCCGCATGGTCCTCTTTATTCTTCTCCCACTAGGTAGAGCGATTGGATTCGGACGTTCTTCGACGAGCTAGCTGCAACTGCAAGGAAGGAACGCCGATGGGTCTTAAAGAATTGAATCACGGAACAATCCCACCAGGGGATGAGAGGTACTGAAATAAACGACTGTCGGGCTGAACAACAATAAGAATATCTTCAGTGAAAAACCGAAAGTTACTTCTTGGCGGATCCAGCCGTGGTGGATAACATAAACAAACAATAAACGATATTAATTAGAAAAGGAAACGAGCGCAACGACGGAGAGAGAGAAAGGCAGGAGAAGGTTTGCACAGTACAATAGGGAGAGAAGATACGATGCCATGATTGACAGCAGAAAATGAACCCCTGATTGTCAACTCTGGCAGGACCCTCGGCATTTCCTAGGCCTGGCTAGGTCTCGCGCGCTCCGTATTAAATCAATTCATTAAGCTCTACCACTCCGTATAGCTAATCGTAAGAAAAGCTCCCGTCTGTCGACCTAGCGAATCGATCTTGTTCTGGCCGGACCGGTCTCATCGCAGTTAGAGGTCATTCCTGTTTTGTCTGCAGCGTAGAGGGTCCTCTCTAGAAGCTACCTCCTAGCGTGAAGTATAATTATATTAAGACAGGTCCTTGAAAGGAGTCCTATGTACAATTGATTTAAGAGCACATCATAAAAGTTCGGTCTCTGGGGTTGCGGCTCCTCTGTACTGTACCTAGAGTAATAGGTGCGGGAAGTCTGGTTTCAGCGTGCCAGGCCAAAACCCTAGGTGTTTCACCATCGACTTTGACTCTAAAGGGGCAGGATTGTTGCACTGAATGTCACAAAATACAATGCTTAAAAAAAGATATTTAAAAAAAAGACGAAAAAACTGGGAGGGTGGCAGAGAAGAAGGGGGTGAGAAAGGAGAAAACAAACAAGAAAATGCATTCAGCTATATATATCTGCTTCATATGGCGCCTTTCAACTGGCGACAACTAGTGATGGCCTCAGCTTTCCGCTTCACCCCCTCCATTTTTTTTGTAAAGTGCAACATGACATTATTTCGCCAGAATTACACGATTTTTTTTCCTGCTTCCATCGATTGTAAAGGTGATATACTTCTGATCAAAGAACTACGGATTAACCAACAGTATCAATGTCTTGGTTTGGACACGTAAGTTGATGGTCATGCTGCAACAAATCCGGGAAAAAAAAAAAACATAAGCTTTCTCTATTAAAACGAATAAATGCCCAAACGCTAGAAGAGAAATATTCACTTGAACAATGGGAGGATGACATTGCAAGATGTTTCCCAATTGAAGGCTGCAGCAGCGCAAAGCCTTGGTAAAGTCCAACTGCTATCTGATCAATCAGAACAAGAATTTCGATTTATTGCATTAATATTGTCACAACCGGAAATAACAGGTGTACCAACCGCAAGTGTGTTTCTCGACCTCAACAACCTCCTTCATCCTGACTTTTCTCACTCGCGACTCATCGTTCCGTGGTGCCCGTGTCTTCAGCTGCGCTCTTAGCTTGTAGAGAAGCACATTCCCATTACACAGTCCTAGAGATGATTCCGTATACTAGCCTCATCATGGCGCATACCACAGGCAACGCATTTCCTTGAAGTCTCATAGTGTTTCTCAAAAGGTATGTCTAATAGGATGGAGATATGTAGCAACCTGCAACAAGGCTGTTTTGAAGAACTTCCAAGTTCGTATAAATACTTACGCCAATCCCATGCTCGAATCCTCATAAAGGTGATTTTATAAGTTAGTATGATAGGAATTTACGACCTCTATTTAAGAGATCGTGATATAAGGTTTAATCAAGTAGTTATTTTTATATTTTAGTTTCATTAAATAATCATTTGTTTATGATCTAGTATCTTGATTTTTTTTACATCAGATTACCGTCCAAAATTATTAGTTCTTAGGTGTTAAAATATAAGTTCGGAATGTTACATGCGCCATACTGTAAGATCGAATAGATTCCGTTTCAATACCCTAACCACAGTCTATCTTGAGGACCGTCGTTGTAGGTAAAACCATGTCCTTGTCTCAGTGTGTATGCGACACAGCTGGTTTTGTCGAGGTGCTCTTTTACCCGGAGATTCCCGGCGATCATGACCACGCTCGACTCGTTTTAATCGCGTGTTTACCATTTTCCCTCGGACGTGTTCCCCTCAAAATCTCAATGATTATCGTCTCTTTATATCCTTCTATGAAACAAGAGCGACGAGATGACTCTGCTAGAGATTGAGCGCAAGTTTGCTTTCCACCCAGCACTGCTCAGTCAGTTCCGCCGCAACGGAGGCGCTCCCCCATTTACCCATCTTCAACACCTGGGAAGTCAGAAGTTCCACGACATTTACTTCGATGGCAAGAGGGACATCCTGGCTAGGCATGGCATCTGGGTCCGCCAGCGCAACGGTGTCTGGCAGGCCAAGCAACGTGTTCAGAATCACTGCGACAAGAAAGGCGAGCACACAGGATCGTCCAGAGAGGACGTCTTCCTCCGCACCGTCTTCAACGAAATATCCTGCCCCCGTGAGATTCACGCCCTCGTCACGCGCTACGTTCCCTCGGGCCTGTCCTTCCCCTCAGCAGATTGCAATTTCGGCCTTCAGCCAATCGCCAACTTCACCACCTCCCGCGAGACCTTCCTCGCTGACGAGCGCTTCCACGTTGTCCTGGACGAGACCTGTTTCGGCCACCGTGTTGGTGAGGTCGAGTTACTGGCTGAACGGGGAGAGGAGCAGCATGCGCAGCTGGAGATTGATCGATTTATGGAAAGATATCGCTGGTTCTTTCTTTCGTGTGGCAATAATTCCGTAAAAGGGAAATTGTCGGCCCACTTTGAGAGGTTTCCTGTCAGCTTTTGACAACTTTTTATTGCTGCTCTGTGCATCTTCTGTGGCTTTTGAGGTAGAAGATAATAGAGTGTTCGACTTGTTCACATGGACAATATCATACAAGAGAGATCACCAGTTTTGTGTATCAGGCACAGATATTTCTGATCGAAGGAGGATAATGCTCAATACTCAACTAGCGAGGGAACTGATCTAGTGATACCGTTTGAAAAAGAAAAAAAAGATACCTATTTAAACCTACGGCGCTGATTAAGTGAAAAAAAGCGGATCTTAAGACGATCTCCCACAACAGCCTCTGCTTTTAAAATTTGATACAAGGCACAACTTTTGAAAGACAGGCCATCCCCCTCTTTACTATGTAGCCTGGACAATAAAGCCACACTAGAGATTATAAAGAACTTAATCCACTGGAGTGCAGCCACAAGCAAGCTCATGCTTGATCAGTTCTCAGCAGCATTCTTGTAAATCACATCCAAGTCGCCGTCACAGTTGAACTGGCCGTATTAGCTTAGATGTACAAATGTCAACTGGGGATAGATAGTTACCTCAACCAGCTTGTTCTCCTCCTTCAACTTGTGGACACAGGGCACCGTCTCCTCCTCGTACTGTCTGAAGCGTTTTTGGAGCGTCTCCACGTTGTCATCGATTCGGTTGGAGGTCTTTTCATCATCGCAGAACGTGGCTAGTATGATCCTATGGTTGTGTATTGAGCGATCAATTCTCTTGTGAAAAAAAAAATAAGTCACCGTGGAAAGTGAAATTCTTCTCAACAAATATCTGAGGGCTTCAATGAGTGGTATCTGAAGGTGTTGACTACCTGACATAGAATTTATGTACTGATGCAGATTATGCCCGTTTATTTGGGAGCAAGGAGAATCAGCCGGCAATTTCCGGCCAAAATGCTGGCAAGAATGCCTGGATTGACTGCCTTATAAGGTGTGAATTCTCCTTCGTGTTCCAAAACATCGTCAGACAAACCTGTTTGTTTGTTTGCAGTCCTAGTGACAAACCTTGGATCCCTAAGCAGAAACAGAAACAGGCCATCAACGAAAGTTGTGCAATCTTGCTCCAGTGCCCATCTCATCTTACCAGCAGTCAGTTCAACGTCTTCCCATTTTGCTCCTCATTCTATATCCAAGACTATCATCCCATAGAAGAGTATTTCTGCAGACTGAGATCCATTATGACGCTCTATCTTGTCACCTTCCTGCTGATTCTGTTGGCCCTCACCGCGGCCAGTCTCCACAAACTTCCCCGAAGCGTCGGATACCGATTTTCGAAGAGAACGCCCATAATCCCCGTCTCTGTGAATTTTCATTTCACTCGAAAATGCAACTACAACTGCGGCTTTTGTTTTCACGAGGCT